ATCTTTAAATTCTTACAACACTGTTTCTTATACACTGTTTTGTCATTTGCAGTGTATAATTCTTCTTACACTTTTTTTTTAAAAATATATTTTATTGTTTTTACAGAGAGGAAGGGAGAGGGAGAGAGAATTAGAAACATTGATGGGAGAGAAACATCAATCAGCTGCCTCCTGCACACCCCCTACTGGGGATATACCGGCAGCCAAGGTATATGCCCTTGACCAGAATCGAACCTGGGACCCTTCAGTCTGCAGGTTGGTGCTCTGTCCACTGAGCCAAACCAGCTAGGTCTATACCAGTTGATTTTATTTATTTATTTTTTTGCAGAAATCCTTTAATTTTCTTTATTTCACACATTAAAAAATGAAACACACTATACAAATGGTTTTCAGAGCAGATTACACGCGGGTCCATTCAGACTCCTCTCAGAGTGTGGCCGACACTCAGTGCTGCCCAGACAGAGGCAGCTGTTAGCACGTAGCCGATGTATTGATCTAGATGCAGTAGCACGCAGCCCTCAGCATGACGGTTCATTCCCCTCTGTTCTTAAATTAGGTTCAATGGCGTCGGTGTCCATATTTACAGACTTGAAATGTATCGATCCTGAGCAGTTCTGATGTACATGAGACCGGCTGCTGGGAGTCTTGGTCTCAGTCTAAAAAGGGAGGCCAGTGGTGCAGGCAGTTGCTAGGAACTGGTCGTCATCCTCCCACCAGGAACATTGGCCGCCGTGGCACAGTCAGACCCTCTACAAGGGTTAAGCCAAGTAACTGTAGGTGTCCTTTTCACCATCAACTCGCTCCAAATATTCTTTCTCGATCAGAATATCAACGCATTTCTTGATGACCGGGACCCGTGGCTTGAACCGTGAGGACCGCTGAGTGAGCAACTCCCCAAGCAGCTGCTGGTGCTCCAGGACCGTCCGCATCTTCATGACCCTCACAATCGCCGCCTGGATCAGCAGTTTCCGGTCCTCTTCAATATTTTTGTGTGTAGTTTCTTGTTCCTGCTTCTGTTCGGTTTTCATTGGCACATTGATGTTAACCCTTAATTTCTTATTTTTATAACCAAGATATAATTTTATTAAGGTATCTGGCTTCAACTCCACCTCATCAACATTTGCATTTTCATCTTCCAAGACCAATAACTTCGACTTCAATAAAATCTGTAGGACTTGTGCCAAAATGTCCATTTGGATTTGAGTGCTGTCCGTCAGCTGCTGCACCGCGTAAGCATCTTCCGTGTTGTATTGAAGCAGGATTGCCATCTGGAATGTAGATGCCTGCAAAGTGTATCTGTTCTTGAAGCAGTTTGTGACCAGCTCTCCTTTGGAGAGTTGGTGCAACCATGTCAACTTCCTGCCGCTATGACGACTAGCGTAGAAAGCAGTGAATCGCTGGTAGCTACGTTCCAGCTCTGACGGCAAGGCGAACGTGCAGGACTGCCGGAAGGGCCACGAGCTGGAGCTCGGCACCTGGATACTTAAGTCCAAGTCCAGTGGCTCTGAATTTGTCAGGTGCTTTTTGAACTGTTCGTTTAAATCTTTGCTCACGCCAATGTCCTGAAACATCCGCTGAAGTTTAGAGGTATACTCAAATCCACAGGCTTGCTTTAATTTGGAGATCATGCTTGCTTCGGCATCATCACTCGCACTGTTCTGGTGCACGAGTCTTTTGGCCAGCACCTTCGCATAGAACTTCTGGAACACATCCTTGTCCTCTATGTACCTGAAGACAACCATCACTTGATTGAGAGTATCTTCTAGTTCTGCTTCTTCTGGGTTCTTGGAACTCTTCTTCAACAAGGAGTCACAGTATCGAGCCAGCAATTCGGTGGACTTACTGGACGACTGAGCCATCTTGGTGACAGCATTGTTGTTTATGAAGCGCCCACAAGCCTTGTCCAGGGTGGCCATGAAGCCCGCGTTGTTATTGAATGCTGACATGACCAGGGCGTTATACTTTTTATGAACATCCAGCACTGTCTGCACGTACATTTTGGGATCATTTAAAGCAGCTTCTCCACACTTTTCAATTGCTGCAAGACCCTGATTATGAATATGTATCTCCAAAAGTTTTTTCAGTTCTCCTAGGCCATCCTGGATTCGAGATACAAGATTATACATGCGACCCAAATCTTCGTTTTTATCAGCATCCAGCAAGTTCTGAAACTCTGTGTGAAAAATCTCCAGGTGCTTCTCGATGAGCACCTGCTCGCACCTCCTCGCCAGCTCGTCCTGAGTGCTTTTGTGGAGGTAGACCTGCACTCTCCGTTGCTCCTCGAGCAGGCGGACCTCTGCCTTTTTCATGTATTCAGTAACTGGGCTCTGCTGCAAGAATTCAGTACTCTCTCTGGTATAAAATCTCTCTGTATCAGCCAAAAACTGAGACTCAAAGGATTCTTTATACACTGTTAACGTAGGACCCTTCGCAAATGCATCATCTTCATTCAGCCCCAATTCCACATAAGGCTGTACAACTCCACTAATCAGTCTTGTATTGATGGTTTCACCATTTCTTTCCTTTTCAATCGGTTTTAAAACAACCTTGGTTACCTGTTTGTTCAAGGGCCTGAATAGACAATCTCTCCAAGTCACCAATGCGAGAGAATGGATTTCATATATTCCTCTTCGTCCTTCATCACATGCACGGCAAACCCAATGTCTATTGAGGTAGGCACATAATTCCATTCAGAAATTTGCTGGAAAACCGGTAATCTTCCCACTGCTGAGTGTAGAACTTCAGTACACTCTCATCCATCAAGTCTTCTCCATCCTTAAGAAGATTTGTCAAGTCATTCTTCAAAAATTCTTTAAGTCGTTTGTATAATTCCAAGCCAACAAATTGCACTTGCCCCTTTTCCGATTTAGAAGGAGGACGCCAGCCCCTCGCGTTTGGTTTGACTGGTGAACACTTGTGCAGTAGCTATAAACGTGAGTGTAGAGCTCCATGTATCTGGATTTTGCCATACTCTGTCTGGTGTATACCTGCTGGATTCCAGCTCTGAGGTCATCCCAGATCTGGCCAAGGCCAATCTGCTTCAGTCCATGGGGATTCTGACTCCTGTTCGATGACATTGTGAGTAATATTCTGAAGTTGTCCAGTGCAGCAATCCTTATCCAAAAACGGAAAACTTCCCCTATTGTTGTTGATGTATTTTCCCTCCACGTTCCATGTGGTTCAGGGTTTGGGGTCTACTGATGAGTACTTGGGTGTTGGGGTCCAACCCCAGCAGGTCCAGGGGTCCCCAAAGGTGTGGACGGAGTCGGCGAAGAAGGAAAGACTCAGAGGCAACGTTCAGTTGATCAGCAGCCTAGCCAGGATCTCTAGCCACAATCTCCAGCCAAGTACTGTGTCCATGTTCTCTTGCTAGGTTCTCCAGCCAGGTTCTCCAGGTTCTCCAGCCAGGTTCTGTAGCCATGCTCTCACACTAGGTTCTCCAGCCCGCCCTGGTTAGAACACATAATGCTAAGAAGGGGAGCAAACATATTAAGAACAGTATGTCATATACGCCAGGTCCCTTGAAACATATGCTGTGCGGATGTTTCTTCCCTGCAGTGACTGTGTCAAGCAGCAAGGATGGACCAGCTTCCGGCAAATAACATTCACAAGAATGCCCCTATGTAGGGAGCTGTTTCTTTATAACCATTGTGGAAACCGAAAAATATATTATTATGAAAGCATAACTTTTTTTTTTCCTGGATCTTTTCGAGTGACAATTTGCCATCATCCTTGTAAAGGAAAAAGAAAGCAACTACATATTTTGAATAAATACATTTATTAAACCCTTAAGAACATGCCTATTTCCATTCAAGTTTGCGATGGTGTGCTCAGGTCGTGGGTGTGCACTGTGACAGGAGGTAAGACTTACAGCTTTCCAATTCAAGGGAACAATTCTGCCTGTCCAGAGGAACCCTGCTGGAATCCATAAAGCACATGGCTGAAACAGTCATCCTAGAAAAAGGAGAAGGAAAGGGAAACTGTAGATCATTGAACCATATGGCCAACATGCAACTCTGAATCTCCCTCACTGCTTGCTGTTTCCTGTGCATTTCAGGAATGAGGCAGAATAGGCATTGCCTTTTTCTATCCTAATGACGCTGCCGGAAACAAACCCAGGAAGGCGGATGATTTGCCTGAGACACGGAGTTCACAGGTGAATTCCTCCTCGACTAATTGCTGCTGATCTCACCATTTCCTGGTCAGCTCCCTCTGTGTGTTCTGGCTTCCAAGTCTTCAGAGAAACACACTTCAAAGTGAGAATACTTTCAAATAGATTTAAATATTGTCTGCCTTTTGGAAGACCCAAACTTAAATAGTTTCTATTGGTAAAGGCTGGGTGGTGGTAATCAAAACCTATGGGTGAAGGTTTTGCTCACAAACCAGGTTTACCTGAGGAAATTCTCTTTCCAGGAGAGAGGAAATAGCCCAGAGCATTTTCAGTTTTACATTTATGAGCACAATGCATAATTCAGGTGCTATTAAGTCAAAGGGCTTGCATACTGATGAGGACTGTTTTTCCACATTTTATATTCTGCTAGATTTTCCTGGCATCAGGCAGAGGCTGCGGTGCTACGATCCTACCTCAAAGTAGAAACTTTGTACCCACAATATCAGATCAGAGGTGCATAAAAGGCCCCTGAGCAAGTCTGCAAAAAACAAAGCCAACAGCTGCTCCCACCACGGTGCCCTCCAGTTAATCCGAGAAGCGGAACTATTTTATCTCCAGTGGGTTGACTTCTACTTTCATTAGTCAGTTAGCAAAATGCCATGCCGAGCAGTGTCTGGGTGACTCCGTGTCACAAAACGTACTCGTTTTGCCATATCTCTAGTACTTTAAAGTGGGAAGGACCTCTGAGTCTTTGAGTCTACCTTCTTCATAGCACACAAGACTAAATTTACAACCGAGAAGGCTGGGTGGGTGGTAGTAAAGAAAGTATTATTCACAACATTTGTTAAAGAGCAGTGAGGAAGACTATGGAGGGGGGCTACAATAATGGGGCTTTTGAATAAGGGAGAGGGTGGGGCACGGCTCCAAATATAACAAAGGAAAGTGACCATTTATAGCCAAGGAGCAGGATGCGAGGCAGCGGATAGAAAATTACTCAGCGGCCCGCTGGCTCCGCTGGCTCCGTGGTTGAGTGTGGATCTATGAACCCTGGGGCCACAATTCCATTCCCCATCTGAGCTGGGGGCTCAATCCCCAGTAGGGGTCCTGCGGGAGGCAGCCAATCAACCACTCTCTCTCATCATTGATGTTTCTCATCCTCTCTCTCTCCCTCTCCCATCCTCTCTGAAATCAATAGAAATATATTTTTTTTAAAAAAAGAAAGACAAAAGAGCGCATGCCTGTCACTGGGCCTCGAACCCTCAGCAGGCCCCGCCTGCCGCCCGCAGCTCCTTGTGCCCCACCCGCTCTGGGGGAGTTGCGTCATCACGTCTGGGGAAGTTGCGTCATCACGCTCGCTCGCCCTCCCTGTCCCCGGATGCACTTATATACCTGGATTCTTAGAGCTTTGGGTGGCCTCTATCTAATTCTGTGCGCTTAGCACATGCGCGCCGGCTCTGCTCCCTCTTCCTTCCTCTTCCTCCCCTGACACTCGCCTCCGCTGCCCGGGCCACCGCTGCCTGCCGCCACCGCCACCGCCACCGCCACCGCCTCTGAGGAGTCAGGAAGTTGCAGATGGCCGCCGCCGCCGCCGAGCCTCCGCGTCTGCAGGAACAGTCGGAGATGGAAGATGCTGATAATTCTGGAAAGAGCATACACGAAGAAAATGGAGAAGTATCAGAAGACCAATCTCAAAATAAGCACAGTCGTCACAAGAAAAAGAAGCATAAACACAGAAGTAAACATAAGAAACATAAACATTCCTTAGAAGAAGACAAGGATAAAAAACATAAACGTAAGCGTAAACAGAAGAAACACAAAAGAAAAGAAGTTATGGATGCTTCTGAAAAAGAAGGTTTGTCTCCAGCAAAAAGAACTAAACTTGATGATTTAGCGTTGCTGGAAGACTTGGAAAAACAGAGAGCCTTGATTAAAGCTGAAAAAGAGAAGACAACTAGGAGCAAATCAAAGGAGAGGAAAAAGTCTAAACGTCCATCCAAAAGAAGTAAGTCTCAAGATCAAGCAAGAAAATCAAAATCTCCTACCCTTAGAAGGCGATCTCAAGAGAAAATTGGGAAGGCCAGATCTCCTACTAATGACAAGGTTAAGATTGAAGATAAAAGTAAGTCAAAAGATAGAAAAAAATCCCCAGTTATAAATGAAAGAAGTCATGATCGAGGCAAAAAATCCAGATCCCCAGTTGACTTAAGAGGTAAATCCAAAGACAGAAGGTCACAGTCCAAAGAGAGAAAGTCAAAACGGTCTGAAACTGATAAAGAAAAGAAGCCAATTAAATCTCCCTCTAAAGATGCTTCTTCTGGGAAAGAAAATAGGTCACCCAGTAGAAGACCTGGTCATAGTCCTAAAAGAAGTTTGTCTCCAAAACAACGTGATAAATCCAGAAGAAGTAGATCTCCACTTTTAAATGATAGGAGGTCTAAGCAGAGCAAGTCACCTTCTCGAACTCTGTCTCCTGGTAGAAGAGTTAAGAGCCGATCCTTGGAAAGAAAACGAAGAGAACCAGAAAGGAGACGACTTTCTTCCCCAAGAACAGGACCTCGTGACGATATCCTCAGTAGACGCGAGAGATCAAAAGATGCCAGCCCGGTAAGTAGGTGGTCTCCAACCCGAAGAAGAGCAAGTAGATCTCCCATTAGAAGGAGGTCTCGCTCCCCACTCAGGCGGAGCAGGTCTCCTAGAGGAAGAAGCAGTTCCCCTCGGAGAAGGGATAGAGGTCGGAGAAGCAGATCACGTTTGAGAAGGCGGTCTCGATCACCTTCAGAAGGTGGTCGTAGAAGTGGGAGCAGAAGCAAAGTAAAGGAGGATAAATTTAAAGGAAGTCTTTCTGAAGGAATAAAAGTTGAGCAAGAATCTTCATCTGAAGATAACCTCGAAAACTTTGATGTAGAAGAAGAAGATGAAGAGGCCCTAATAGAGCAGAGAAGAATACAAAGGCAAGCAATTGTTCAGGTATGTGATTTTATTACAGTTTTGATCAATCCTCCTTAAATAATATTTTAGTAAAATAAAGGTTTTTTACTTAAAAAAGTGACAATAGTAGCAATTCAATAGGTCTTAAAAAATGGTAGTTTCTTAATAAAATTGAAATAGAAAGTTGAGCAAGAATCTTCATCTGAAGATAACCTCGAAAACTTTGATGTAGAAGAAGAAGATGAAGAGGCCCTAATAGAGCAGAGAAGAATACAAAGGCAAGCAATTGTTCAGAAATATAAATATCTTGCTGACGATAGCAATAGGTCTGTGCCATCTGAACCCAGCAGCCCCCAGAGTAGTGCTCGTACACGGTCACCTTCTCCAGATGACATTTTGGAAAGGGTAGCTGCTGATGTTAAAGAGTATGAACGGGAAAATGTTGATACATTTGAGGCCTCGGTAAAAGCCAAGCATAATCTAATGACAGTTGAACCAAATAATGGGTCAGCTCAGAAAAAGCTGGTGGCACTTGATATGTTTACAGAATCTGATGATATGTTTGCTGCATATTTTGATAGTGCTCGTCTTCGGGCTGCTGGCGTTGGAAAAGACTTTAAAGAGAATCCTAACCTGAGGGATAACTGGACTGATGCAGAAGGCTATTATCGTGTGAACATAGGTGAAGTGTTAGAAGGGCGCTATAATGTGTATGGCTACACTGGTCACGGTGTATTCAGTAATGTCGTACGAGCCAGAGATAATGCAAGAGCCAACCAAGAAGTGGCTGTAAAGATCATCAGAAACAATGAACTCATGCAGAAAACTGGTTTAAAGGAACTCGAGTTCTTGAAAAAACTTAATGATGCTGATCCTGATGACAAATTTCATTGTTTGCGGCTCTTCAGACACTTTTATCACAAACAGCATCTCTGTCTCGTATTTGAGCCGCTCAGCATGAATTTACGAGAGGTGTTAAAAAAATATGGTAAGGATGTTGGTCTTCATATTACAGCTGTAAGGTCCTATAGTCAGCAGTTGTTCTTGGCATTGAAACTCCTTAAAAGATGAGGCAATGAAACTCCTTAAAAGATGCAATATCCTACATGCTGATATCAAGCCAGACAATATCCTGGTTAATGAATCAAAAACTATTTTAAAGCTCTGTGATTTTGGGTCGGCTTCACATGTTGCGGATAATGACATAACTCCTTATCTTGTCAGTCGATTTTATCGTGCTCCTGAAATCATTATAGGTAAAAGCTATGACTATGGCATAGATATGTGGTCTGTAGGTTGTACCTTATATGAACTCTATACTGGAAACATTTTATTTCCTGGCAAAACCAACAACCATATGTTGAAGCTCGCCATGGATCTCAAAGGAAAGATGCCAAATAAGATGATTCGGAAAGGTGTATTCAAAGACCAACATTTTGATCAAAACCTCAATTTCATGTACATAGAAGTTGATAAAGTAACAGAGAAGGAGAAAGTTACTGTCATGAGCACCATTAATCCAACTAAGGACCTGTTGGCTGACTTGATTGGATGCCAGCGACTTCCTGAAGACCAGCGTAAAAAAGTACACCAGCTAAAGGACTTGTTGGACCAGATCCTAATGTTGGACCCAGCTAAACGGATTAGCATCAACCAGGCCCTACAGCATGTCTTTATCCAGGAAAAAATTTAAATAAGATGAAGAAGTTCCAATGGTTTGAGTAATTAAGTACAGAC